CGTAAGGATCAGTTTATTCGCTCGTACCACACAGAACTATATTTACCAATATCATTAGTGCATAATTGCTCACGCATATAGACATTCTGTTTACATAACATAAATTCGTTTGTATGTATGTATTCATATTCAGAAATTGATAATATGTGTAGGTTCCGGTTGGTGGATGCTACAGGCTAATAGATATCCCAATGAGCAACTGCATTAACAGTGGCATAAACAAGATTTTTGTGCTGACCCAGTTCAACTCTGCTTCTCTTAATCGTCATCTGGCACGCACTTACTTCGGAAATGGTGTCAATTTTGGAGATGGGTTTGTTGAGGTATGTTTTCTGTATGCAAATTCATTCGGATTCCATCAAAAATGGTTTGCACCTGCATCCCCGAGAACAAGAGTCTTATCGTGAACTTATTTGATCGGCAGTGTTTATCTTGATACCTTTTCTGTCTGGAAAGTGGTTTATATTAGGAAACGTTTTCTGATCAATCAATCCTTTGCTGCGATAATTAAGGCCTTTTTTGGTTGGTGTCTAAAGTACAATCAATGTATAGGTTCTGGCCGCTACTCAAACTCCCGGAGAAACAGGAAAGATGTGGTTTGAAGGAACAGCAGACGCCGTAAGGAAATTCATTTGGGTGTTTGAGGTCGGTGTCTCATTGTTGCTGGTTTTAGATACTACCCTTTCTTATCTCAGCAGTCTGCACAACTTTTGTCTGTTTTTAATCCATTGCTTTCTGTATTGAATTGTGAAGGATGCCAAAAACGGAAATATTGAGAACATACTAATATTGGCGGGGGATCATCTTTACCGGATGGACTATATGGATTTTGTGCAGGTGTGTATGGTGGCTCCCAAATGAAACGAGTTCTTGATTGAAAACCTATATTATATTTCTTATGAATTTGCCATTGCTCGACAGAATCTTATCGAGAGAAACTCTGAGATATCTGTTGCGTGTACTCCTATGGGGGAAAGGTTGGTTGTGATTCTAGCCACACTTTATTGCCAATGTTAAATTTCGTATTAATGTGTTAATTTATTTTTAGGCATTTTATGTAATCTAATTTTGGCGGATTGTATATCAGCCGGGCATCTGATTGTGGATTGGTGAAGATAGACAGCAGAGGCCAAATTGTCCAATTTTCTGAAAAGCCCAAGGGTCCTGATCTGACAACTATGGTGAGCGTTTGGTGCTAAGATGATCCATTTATTCCTCAATCTTTGTCTCACCTTTGCCAAATAACCCAGAGTTTATTTATATTTCATTATTATTGAGCTTTTTTTCCTTCTTTATTTGGTAGGCCGTTCCAACCTCGCTTTATTTTATGAATGTTGCGTGAATTTCCTTCGAGATTTGGTAACGAGTCATTTGCTGATTCTTGTAGCAAGTGGATACCACCATGCTAGGATTGTCTCCGCAAGAAGCTGCAAGATCTCCATATATTGCATCGATGGGAGTTTATGTCTTCAAGACGGGGACTTTACTAAATCTTCTGAAGACGAGGTACCCTACAGCCAATGACTTTGGATCTGAAATCATTCCCGCGGCTGTGATGGAGTATGACGTCCAGGTAAGCGACCTCTCTTTATCTGAAAGAGTCTCTTTCCTGAAAAAACAAAAAAAACGAAGTATCCACTGAAAGCTCTCATTGCAAGCTTAATTTCTCTTGATTGCTAGGCTTATATTTTCCGCGATTACTGGGAGGATATAGGGACTATCAAGTCCTTCTATGATGCTAATTTGGCTCTCACAGAAGAGGTGGGTTTTTTCTTACGCGTGCCTACTTGTGCTCTCGCTTTTATATCCGTCACGATTCAAATTCGTGCGCTTAAGAATCCTGATTTGAACAGGCCATCCAATTTATGCAACGTATGAAGCTGCAATTACGATTTTCATTTGAAACAAGATAAACTGATGTGGATTTCCTTATTGTCCTTCTTGCAGGTTCCGAAATTTGAATTTTATGATCCGAAGACACCTTTCTTCACGTCCCCCCGATTTCTTCCACCGACCAAGATAGACAACTGCAAGGCGTGCAGCTCTCTCTGTATTACTTTGTCTATGTGGTCTTTTTTAACTTTTCTGATCTGCTTCTTATGCTTGCTTTGTATGCTGTAGATTAAGGATGCAATAATTTCCCATGGTTGCTTTTTGAGAGAGTGCAGCGTTGAACACTCCATAGTGGGTGAACGCTCACGCCTCGATTCTGGAGTTGAGCTGAAGGTATAACTTATCTCGAATTTCAACTTTCCCTTTCTGTCCGAGTCTCAAGTCATGGGAGAATCACCAATTTCTGATTACCTGTGATCTCTCTCTCCCTGATAGGACACGGTGATGATGGGTGCGGACTATTACCAAACAGAATCAGAAATAGCTTCTCTGCTAGCAGATGGGAAGGTGCCTATCGGGATAGGAAAGAACACAAAGATCAGGTAAAAAGATTGAGCCGTTCATTTTTTGAAAGGTGCTATAACATTTTACATAATCTGATACCATTTTGGGTTTTAATCTCGGAAGGAAATGCATAATCGACAAGAATGCAAAGATTGGGAAAGATGTGGCCATTGTAAACAAAGATGTAAGCAAACTCGCCCGCGCCGCTCTCTCTCTATATAGTTCTGTAGTTTACATTCCTAATGATTCTCTCCCCCAAGTTTGGCATGCTTTAACCGACCGAAATTGATGTATTTGCCGCTCAGGGCGTTGAAGAAGCGGATCGGCCAGAGGATGGATTTTACATACGCTCGGGAATAACCGTGATACTGGAGAAGGCAACGATAAAAGATGGTACAGTTATATAAGCGGATGGATCTTGTGTTAATCTTCAGATGTTTCCGAGATGAAAAATGCCGCGAAATGTGATCTAGGCACGGAGATTGAACGAGATATACAGAGTTTTTCAACAGCTTTTGCCCTGGAGAGCTGCGAGCTCCTTTCTGCTCTATGTACAGAAATATTAATTCCTAGTCGTATCCATAGTATCACAGGAAAAGCCTACTAGAGTTTAAAGATGAGCTCCTACAATATTGCTGCTTTTGATTTTGTAAATGAGGTGATCCCCGAGATATGAATAAACTTGCCAGTTGTATCGATCTTTCAACACTATATCTCGGTGACGATATCTAGCGAAATTAATGGGATTTTGTTAAACAAAGCAACTACTAACTGGTAGTTTTCTGTCAACATCTCCTTTTCATTTACTCGAGCATGTGAACTAGATCTCTGAAGTGGTTGCTAATCTTTTGCGTTGGAGATGTCGAGCTGACGCGTGCTTTGTGTCAACCGAAATGTTTGACGAAGAAAGAATCGAGGACAGGTCATCGAACTGAATTTCGGGTGTCATGTGTCGACCGAAATATTAGACAAAGGAAGTAGAATTACTGCTTTTTCGACTGGCCGGCATTGGATTACTGCCTAATAATAATAATAATTCAATAAGCTCATCGCTGAAACTTGCCATGGTGAAGAGTCTTTGACTTTTTGTGTGAAGACTCTGCATTTTTGAAATCTTATGGTATGTTTTGGTGACATGTAACGGTAATACAAGGTGCGTAAGATATTGTCTGAAAACTCAATCCAATGTAAGAGGCAATGATCCAGGAGTCCCATCCGGGCCTTAATCATATGCTTGCCCAAATCAATCCGACGTAAGGAAAATATTCGGTGGTTGCAAAACGCCATGTCAATCACTGACGTGGTGCGCGTTTTTTATTTATACCCGCGTGTTTGATGCGGTGAAAATAAAAAAATAAAAAAACTTTTTTTTCTTCTTCCTCCCACTACCCATGCTCCTCTGCATATCCGGTTGTCGGCCATGGACGACGTCTCTTGCTCCTCCATCCAGCCACCATTTGCACAGCCGCTTCAGAATCCGGCGCGACCGTCTCCATCGTGCAATCCGGAGGGAACTTGAATGGTCATGGACCCTCTCTCCCTCGGGCGAGTTCCCTTTTGTGAAGCACGACCATGACAAAAATAAATATTTTTTCTTCCATCTCAGCAGACACGTGCCGATCAATTATCGGGTATAAATAAAAGGACGCGTGCCACGTCAGCGATTGAAGTGGCGCTTAGCAACCATTGAATATATTCTCACATGTTGAGGGACCTAAATTCGAGCATCCTGTCTCTCCACTTAATACCCTAAAAAAATCTCAACTTTAGTTTAAGTCTCAATTCTATTATAATTTTATCTCATAAAAAAACCCCTAACTTTTGGCATAGTCCTAATTCTACCATGAACTTTTTTTTTTATCTCATAGAAAAACACTTCGTCATGTGGCATTTCTACGCATTGCTCTAATTCATTCTCAAATTCTATATCCAAGGAAATGTCTTTTGGAGATTCATTTCCAACAACATCTTATTGGATTTGAAAATTAGGTAAAAACTAGAGCAATTAGGGTTGGCTTTCTTCAATTGCTTTTATTCTTAAGAGAGTTAGCTTTCCATCTCACTCGAGATCTTCGATTTTACGCCTATTCTTTAATCTCTCGTGCTCGGAAAGTCTTCCGTCTCTTGCAGTGGGAGAGCTGGTGATCAAGACACTCGGCTCGAGATGCTCGAATAGCTCGCTCGGGAGTTTTCTATCTCTCGGTTGTCAAGAGAAATTTTGGACGGAGGGCTAATGGGAGTAGATTTGAGACTCAAGTAAAAGTTTACGGTTTTTTATGAGACAAAAAAAGTTTATAGTAGAATAGGAACCGGATCTAAAGTTGGGGTTTCTTTAAGGAACGAAAAAAAAAATTTAGAGTAGAATCGGGACTGGACTTAAAGTTGGAAGTTTTCTAGGGTATTAGACCTTTGAATTTGATTTAGAAAAAACGGGTTGTCGTGTACATGGGCCTAGTCCTGGGCCTGGCGATCAGCCTGTCCAGGCCCGATCGGGCCAACAAGCCCGGAGAAACGGCAAGTCGTTCGGCAGAGGAAGGAAGAGGGGCAAATACGTCAAGTCGGGTCTAATCAATAACCACCCGCGCTTCATAAACCCTAACACTACAACACCGCGAAAGCGCAAAGAAGAACCTTTGGAAGAAGAAGAAGAAGAAGAAGAAGTTGAGCCATGGGGAAAGTGAAGGGGAAGCACCGTCTGGACAAGTTCTACCGCCTCGCCAAGGAGCACGGCTACCGCTCCCGGGCCTCCTGGAAGCTCGTCCAGCTCGACTCCAAGTTCTCCTTCCTCCGCTCCTCCCGCGCCGTGCTCGACCTCTGCGCCGCCCCCGGCGGCTGGATGCAGGTCGCCGTCCAGCGCGTCCCCGTCGGCAGCCTCGTCATCGGCATCGACCTCGTCCCCATCGCCCCGGTCCGCGGCGCCATCTCCATCGAGCAGGACATCACCCGTCCGGAGTGCCGGGCCCGGGTCAAGAAGCTGATGGGGGAGCACGGGGTCCGGGCCTTCGACCTGGTGCTCCACGACGGCTCGCCGAACGTCGGCGGGGCGTGGGCGCAGGAGGCTATGAGCCAGAACGCGCTGGTCATCGATGCGGTGAAGCTCGCGACTCAGTTTCTGGCTCCGAAAGGCACGTTTGTGACGAAGGTGCGTGTGTTCGGTTTTCCAGCTCCGTGGCTTGCGGTTTTGAAGTTTGAGCTGCTAGTAGGTTTTCATCGGAGTATGTGAATGTTATGGGATTAGTAGAATTTTAGCTGGTGAATGATGAGAGATTGAGTGGATGATTGTTCGTGGAAATGAGAAGCTTTCAGTGCCTGCAGCTTCTTCGTATTGGCAGGGAGAAACGAAATTGCATCTACCATGCATCTGATTGCTAATTATAAATTACAGTCTCTGCGTAGGATTGCTCTATTGCATTGCCATGCCTCATTACGCAAATGAAATTTTTAATCTTTCACATCTATCTTCTCCTTCTTGGGTTTTAACCCTCCGAAGTCACTATATACTAGTCCAGCACATGGGTATTGCGATATATTGCAGATGAATCCAATTTTCGCTCTACTTACATTCTGCTCGACCTGTATCAGGTTTTCAGGTCCCAAGACTATAACTCTGTTCTGTATTGCCTCAAGCAGGTATTTGTGCCATCCTCGTTATCTAACGATTGCTTTATACAGCCAGACCTGATCTAATATTTTAGCATTGGAATTTGCTCTCCAGTTGTTTGAAAAGGTGGAGGTGGACAAACCAGCTGCTAGTCGGTCCACATCTGCTGAGATATTTGTTTTGGGATTGAAATACAAGGCCCCTGCAAAAATTGATCCGCGACTTCTTGATGTGAAGCATCTGTTTCAAGGATCTATTGAGCCCCCTAGGAAGGTACCTGCTATTTAATTTACTGCATAGTTGTGTACGACTTTCCCGGGGACGGTTATCTCAGCACAGAATACAGCGCCTCTTCTTGACTTAGTTTTGTGTCTATTTGGCATAGGTGGTCGATGTACTCAGAGGAACAAAGCAAAAGAGACACCGTGATGGGTAGGCATTCTTTGGATGATGATGTTAAGCTAATTATGTCTGTTTCACTAAATAAATATAGATTCAATTTTGATGTGAAGTTTAAGTGCCATCCTGTTTGGAAAAGCCATGCCATATTGCAGTGCAGCAGTTATTCCATACAGAGCATACCGATGATTTTCCAGTTGCCTCTTGTATGCAGCAACAAAAGTAGTATTGTTCTCTTTTAACTATTTTGTTTCCTCGCAGTTATGAAGATGGAGAAACAATTTTCAGAAAAGTGTCTTCAGCTGCAGATTTCATTTCGTCCGAGTCTCCTCTTGAGATACTTGGTTCAGTAACTTCAATATTATTTGATGATCCAGCTTCTTTGCCTATTAAGGAGCACTCTTTAACCACCGAGGAGGTATTTGCTTGTTCTCCCTTGTACAGTTATTTATATATATGGTCTACTACCTCCTAGAAACTTGAATCCTGTTGTTTTCTAGGTCAAACATCTATGTGAGGATTTGCGAGTCCTGGGAAAACAAGACTTCAAGCATCTATTGAAGTGAGCAGTCTGCATCCTTCTTTTCTCTCTGCTATCATCAATAAAATAATTTTCAAAATTTTACTTACCATTTTGTCGTTGGAAAGGTTGGGTATCCTTGCTTCTCTCTGTGTCTCTATCACTTTCATTCAATTGTGAAAACGATGAATTTAATTTGATCTTTTTTCTTCCTTTAATTGATGGAATTTGTTTATTATTGCTAGCATAGCTTGATTGTTACTTAGTTTTTCTTTTCTCCTGGAAGTTAGTATAGGGCTTAACTAATTCAACGACTAGATCAATGTAGGTATTGTAGTCTCGGGTTTATCTTTTGACTAGCCATTTTAATATAGATGACCAGGTGCATCCGTAATAGGAATAACAAGGATGGTGAGGAGCTGACTTTGGATAGCATCAATTAATGCTTGATGAACTGTCGAATAGGCAGTCCCTCGCAGGCAAATAACCCAAAAGTTTCTGTCAACTGAATGGCCCAATGGTAACATTCTCCCGATTTGAAAGCTTCCGTGTTGACATGCAGATGGCGGCTGCAAATGAGGAAGGCTCTGTCTCCTACAAAGAAGACTGATTCTTCTAGTCCTGCAGTTGGTGACAAAGAGGAAACCGTAGATGAAGATGATAAAATACTCAATGAGATGGAGGAGCTGACATATGCTATGGAGCGCAAGAAAAAACGACAAAAGAAGCTTCTTGCAAAAAGACGAGCTAAGGTTTGGCTTTTGTGCAATGGACTAAGGGAGAAAAGCACATCACCTACCATTTGAATTAAAGAGCCAAACTGACATTTGATTTTGTCAGGACACGGCACGGAAGGCCTTAGGGACGCAAGTGGATGCTTTGGAAGATGGTTACATGGATCATGAATTGTTTTCTCTTTCTTCCATCAAGGCAAGTTGTTAGTTTTGCATGCTCTCTGTTCAAACTGTTTTATGATTTCCCTTGCTTGTTCGACGGTGTTGCTTGTGGAATTAGTTTCCCTCGCATGTACTGGAGCTATGTATGTGAACATCCTCCTCATCCTTCTCCTTCGCCCGCTTGTTGGTTGGAGAAGGCGTGGAGGAAGGGACAATGTGGATAGATAGCCGAGTGTTTTCTGCAACTATGGTTACTTGGAAATGGTGGGTTATATATCATCTTGCAGCTTTTTGTTGTTATCTTCTCCATGGGATTCAAAAGTTTCCATGATCCTCGCTACATGTCCGTTTCCCCTCCCTGAGTTCATCAGAGAAATGATTTTCATCCCCTCTTCCTCAGTCCATATGTTTGCTTATGTGTGATGAGTTTCTGTTATTAAAGCACAGATAATAGAGCTTTGGCTTTGAAAGATGGCTCTCATCTTTCCCAAGTGACGATTTGTCAAATATTAGGGGAAAGAGCCAGAGTGGAGTGGATCTCCCCCATCCCTTTCTTCGTTAGAGTAAAATTATTGGCTAGGGAAGTATTTATCGAGCCTCAGTTTCTTATTGAATGCTTTGTATTGATTTGGAGGGCAAAAAGGCTAGAAAGAACTGCAAGCTAAGCTGGTCTTTCTTTAACTGTAATTTTCTGACCAGTGGTCATATTCTGCTTCTATAGGACAAGAAAGATTTGGTAGCTGTTGATTCTAATGAACTTGACGAGGAAAATGTGGACTCACGGAATAGTGATGATGAAGGAACTTTGAAGGAAAGCGAGGAGCAATCTTCAAGTGATGCCGATTCAGAGGAAGAACGCAAAAGGTAACATTCCTGACTTTCCGCGATTGCCAATTTATCAGGCATATTTAAAAGTGTGTTTATATCATATTATGATCTTGTGGCAGATACGATGAAAAGATGGAAGAGTTTCTCGATGAGGCTTATGAACGCTTTGTAGCCAGAAAGGAGGGTAGCACAAAACAGCGGAAGCGTGCGAAACAAGCTTATGAAAAGGACCAACTTTTAGAGGTACAGAACCCCAAGCTCTGAGTATCACTACTCATGGACTTTTGTACCTATCTCTTTTTCATTTATGTGATTTTACTTTCGGGACAAACAGACTTTACAGATGACATTCTACTGCTACAAACTTTCCATTCGTAAGGTGCTGCTTGTGTAGTTGCAGACCTAGGATAAACTTGGTTTTACGCATTATCTTGTATATGTGGCGCATAGAATTTTTCATAGCATGCGGACATTGCTGATTCTTTCTTTTTTCTTTTTCACCATTCAGGGCAGCGAAAATGAGGACATGATCCATTATGATGACGACTCGGACAAAGCTGAGGTTGATAATGAATCAAATCCACTTATGGTAAACCTTGATAATGGTGAAGTGCCTACCCAAGAAGAGATAACCAATAAGTGGTTCAGCCAAGATATCTTTGCAGAAGCTGTAGAAGGGGGAGATTTGGGGAAGTATGAAAGTGATGATGAGATGCAAATTGATCGGCGTGGAAAAGAACTTCCGACACCAGTGAAGGTTAAGGCAGCAACCCAAGTTGCAGCATTGGACACAGTTCAAGCTTCCAAGGGGAGAGATGATTTTGAGATAGTTCCTGCACCAGCTACTGATTCTAGTGATGAGTCCTCTGATGATGACTCGGAGGATGAAGACATTGACACAAAAGCTGAGATCTTGGCCTGTGCAAAGAAGATGCTAAGGAAGAAGCAGAGAGAGCAAATCCTAGATGATGCCTACAGTAAGTACATGTTTGATGATGAGGGGCTGCCTGAGTGGTTTATAGATGAGGAGAGGAGACACCGGCAACCAATTAAGCCCGTGACGAAAGAGGAAATTGCTGCAATGAAGGCACAATTTAAGGAGATAGATGCCCGCCCAGCTAAGAAGGTGGCAGAGGCCAAAGCACGAAAGAAGCGGGCTGCCATGAGGAAGCTAGATAAGATTCGCAAGAAAGCGAACTCTATATCGGACCAGACAGATATATCTGATCGTTCCAAGAGTAGGATGATCGACCAGCTATACAAGAAGGCTGCACCCAAAAAGCCTCAAAAGGAGTACGTGGTCGCAAAGAAGGGGGTTCAGGTCAAGGGCGGGAAGGGGAAAGTCCTTGTTGACCGAAGGATGAAAAAGGATGCTCGGAGTCGTGGAAAGGGCAAGCAAGGGAAAGGCGGATTGAAAAAGGGAAAGAATGCAAAAGCTCGAGGAGCCGGTAAAGGATCTGGAAAGGGCTCTGGAAAGGGGAAGATGGGAAACAAAGCAAAAGGCGGGCATGCGTGAATGAGGGCATGCATAGCATTTTACCGATCTGTCTCTTCTTAATGAAATTTTGCCGCCTGTTTAAGTTATGACTTGATTTATAGAAGGCATCTCAGTTCACAATTTTGCACCATTCTTAGCCTCTTCTTTTGACAGGCCTTCTCTTTTCACTATTCTCGAACAATACGAGATTGAATGAGGATAATGTTCTTTCGTAACAGGTTAGATATATTGTTGGAGGGTCGAGGAGTATTAGAGGGACAATGATATTTCGAAATGAAGTTTGAGAGAGAGAGAGAGAGAGAGGTTTTACAGCTAATGGTGTTGCGAATATGGTGAAATTTGTTGCACAACTAACGAAAAGTGGCAAACAAAAGAAGACGAGAATTTGGCGAAATGACCCAGAAATTTAAGTGGTTTGGCTGATTGCCTAAACTCATGGCCTTAGGAATATAAATGAAGTGGGAAAAAGTCACAAAAAAATTTCAAATTATGCCTTTTATGATACATTTATTATGAATTTTTTTTCCCCTAACATAAAAAATTTCAAACTATGCCTACTATGATACATTCACCCCAAATTTTTTCTTCTGACATAAAGAAACTCAAATTTGTACCTTTATGACACGGATGATTTTTCAGTCAAAATAATGTTTTTATTTCACTTAAGCCACGTGAATGCAACGTCAATACAGGTAGATTTTTTAATAGTCCTTATTGTTTTCTGTGACATATTTATCCTGAATTTTTTTCGTGACATCCAAAATCTCAAACTATACCCAGTGTAACTACCCTAAGCTTTTTCTTGTGACATAAAAAAACCCAAATTTATATCATGCCCTTCATGAAGGTTTCGTTAGATGATTTTTTAGTCAAAACAATGTCGTTTTTATTATACCTAAATCATGTTAATGCAATGTCAATAACATTTGCTTTCTAGTGTCAATGTAAGCAGATTTTTTTTATGGTCCTCATTAACGAAATTTTGACGGGGTAAATGTGTCACACGGGTACAAGTTTGGGATTTTTGGTGTAACAGAAAAAAAGCTAAGAATAAATTGTTCTAGTAGGCATAGTTCAGAATTTTTGGTCGCTTTTGCCTTAAAGTAAACAAAAGATGAAAGAGAACTCTCTTTAATGATGCTCAAACTCATCATTTTCTTTTGGGTTAATACAACAAAAAACCCAAAATTGATACACTTGTGACAAATTTACCCTCCGTTAAATTGAATTAATATCACGAAAAATCACAAACTGATAAATCTGTGACAAAGAAATGGGTACAACCCTAAACTGATACACCAATCAACTGTTACATGTTATCCAACTCAGCAATTTGACAGTAAAATTTAACGGAAACTAACGGAGGGTAAATTTGTTACAGGTGTACCAATTTTGGGTTTTTGGTGATTAAAAAAGTAATTTTGGGTAAATTTCTCACAAGTGTACCAGTTTAGGATTTTTTGTGGTAATAACCCTTTTCTTTTTTTACATTCTCGAACTGATGGCAAAAACTGAAAGCATCAGTAAATCTAATGGGGTATTTAAGCTACCTCCCTAGGTTAATTATTAAAAATGAGTCACAAATTAGATGGGGTCCACCCAAAAAATTTGAGTCTATATTGATAAATGGTAGCAGTAGAACACTGTGATGCTCATCCAACTTTGTTGCTGTTCACTAATTCTAATCTAATGTGGATGTCATGTCTTTGGAGACCCACCCATAATTTATAGATCCCATTGGATAAATTCTATTCAAGAATCTCCAAGGATATAATAAAAAGGTATAAGTTTTGAAGTAAGTCCAGTCCAAGCCTTCACAGATGGGTCGAGGTCTTGTAATGAAAGAGTTGAAGTGGTACAACCAGTCCCAAGGGGCTTCCATACTTGTTCTTCAATTTCCTTTTCCTTTTCTCAGAAGGAATCATATGTGCTGTTGGTTCGCTTTTGTCCCAATTTGTTCATTCCCCTTTACAAAGCAGAAGCTTGAGTCACGACACTACCCATGTAATAACCTAACTAGGACAATTACTGCGGCGTTTGTGCTTTTTATAGCTCTGATCCGACGTGGGTGTCCTCACTCTTCTGTGTTTGTAGGCCAATCCATGATTTACAGATGTCATTACACCATGTCTCGAAGGGGGGTAAAAAGGGTATCTGTGTTCAAGGTCCTGCAATGGAAGAGTTGCAGTGGTGCTAACGCCGGGTCCATGGGGCTGGCGTATTTATTCTTCAATTTTCTGTTTTCTTTCTTTTTCTCCGAAAGAACCATCTCTACTGTTGGTTCACTTCTTATCCCTATCTGTTGATCTCGCATCAGAAGAAAAAAGACAAAAATTTGAGTATCTAACGTGTATAGAGCCAAGAGAAGGTATCTATAACATGGGTTTACTCAGAGAGAGAGAGAGAGGGGAGAGGGGGTGGAAATTGCTGAAAGTTGATGTTGGGCCCAATGAAAGGGAAAGGCCAAATTCACCTCTCAACATCCCATGGAGCAAAGAGAATCAAGGAGATCTTGGTTAAATGGATGAGGCCAGGTCCATCCCTCTCACTCCAACCTATGGCTTGAAAATGAAGGCCAACTTCCTTTGCAATCACACCAGAGATGATCAACTTCCTTCGCAGGCAACTTCTCGCGGTCCCCCTCGCCCTCGCCCTTGCCCCTCCATTGAATGTGCAAATCTGCTCGCCTCTTGTTAGTTGCAAGACAGTGAATTATCCGCTCGATTTGCGGGAGAAACATTTTCATCGTCAATTGACTCTCGGGTATATTTGGGAGAAATGGGAGTCTCACAGAATTGTCAATTAAAGTGCTTATGGATATTAGAATCACAGTCCAGCTAGAGGATGATGATGCAGGTATCATGGTATGGTAACCGAGGAAGACAGAGTCAAATTGTCAATTAGATATAGCAGCACTGTCCACAAAAAGTTGGTTAACTTGCACGATGGCAGAGTGAAAATGATGGGCATTATCTCTACTTTTCTTCACACAATTTGAATTGGTCCCTCTCCTCCATCGCCATCATCTTTTTCTAGGGAAACTTTTGTACTTCTATGTCACTGAGCATGCTTGCCTCGTATGATAGAATGATCATAAAGCAAGTAAGCAATCGGTTCCTGAGGGACACGGGGCTTGAGCTGAGGGCTTCCGACTGGTCCCCTGAAATTACTGACTCTGCTTGTAATCCACTGTAAATCAAGAGTCTTGATAGATTTCTGTAGTATAGTTATAAGCACTTCCACAATTTTTCTCTGTTTATTCCTCATATTAATGCTCAAGTCTTCTCTTTTCTGATGCTGGTCATCCTCACCCCCTCCTGACATTTTTCATGTAAAAGAGCATATGACCAGTCACGAGTGAAGGTTCTTGGCTAGAGAAAGAGAGGCGATGAAAGGTTGAGACTACTATTATTCATACCAATGGCGTAAATGTACGTACAAATATATCTTTCTATACATAGACAGGTGAAAAAATCTGGATCCCAACAATTTTTGGAATAAATTCATAGAAGTTATGAGGATGAGATACTGGTTCACATCTCCATCTTCAGATTATTGCCCTCAACCGAACCTGCAAAAATTTGTTGAAGCAATCATTAGATTCAAAAGGGTAGCCAGAGTAGACGTTTTTTTTGTAAAGAATCAACCCCCATTTATAGATGACAAGCTTAGCGTCTACCCGCTTCAAGGCCAATTAGTAGTATCATTTAAAATGAATTTTGTCGGTGCTAATTTTATCGATCACTGAAAAATCGGACATCTGTGGATTCTGACAAGGAAAAAGGGAGAGACTTCAAGAATTGCCATTACTAGTTTGTTCGAGACTTTCCTTGGTTGAGAAAGTCAAAATGCACTAGAGGCTTCAGTGCCTTACTTAAAGGATCAATTTAGTGCTATTGTATGGCCCTTAAGGATCCACTGTTTGGATCGCTTTTAAGAGAGTGAGAAAAAGTAGCAATACAGGAAATATCTCTGTAATCCATTCCCCGTCATCACAATTAGAAAGATACCGCTATCACTGAGCACAATCATTATAGGCATGTGGGGTTCCTTTTCATATCCATCATTAATAGTTGATCTCACTTAACTTGGATTCTCTCACGATCAAGACAATAGGTGATCCCTTACCAAAAAAAAAGACAATAGGTGATCATTAGAAAGAAGAAATATTACCTGTCAACTGTTGAGATGGAAAGGCCATTGTTTTTCCTTGGTGGAACTCCATGTTGTAAAGACTCTGCAAACCGAGATCCCATGTCAAAGGTTGCTGCAATTGCTGCGGAGTCCAAATATTGTGAGTGAAAAGATTGATCAATATATACTGGGAATCGGGAAATGTAGTACAGAGTGCAGCAGGAATTACAGCGAAGCAGGACGAGTCGACAAATGTGTCAGGGATTGACAAGGGGGCGCTTATCGTCCTTCGGAGCCCCAAGTCGGGATTGATTCCTATTTCCATGCCAGAGCACGACACTACCGTTTGTGTTGGACTAAAAGGAAGGTAGGCTGGATTTGTTATATCCGACAATATGTCAGTTGTTGGAAAGCTCGCCGCGCATGCAGGAATCATCTGCAAATATTGAAGTAAAAAGAGCATGAGGAAACCTCCAACTCAAGAGAAAAAGTCGAGCTTGCTTCATTTTAGTAATGCAAATGCAATGTTCAGGAGATGGATCTAAACATGAGCCTTTTGAGGAACAAATACTCTGGCTTTCCTCATATCTGTAGGTTTACATCTCTCTACCCCGTGGCTAATTATGCCATAACATAATTGCCAGGATCAGAAATGTTATCAATTCTGCTAAAAGATATTATGGTCGACCCACAAGTTACCACAAACCAGGAAAGTTACAAGTTACCATCTTCTCAAGAATATTCATCTCTAGAAAACTTTAAGTGATTAACACAACAGTAAAGCAAATAGGAAAACTCAAAAGTGAATTGCATCTCATAATTCCTTGAAATGCTATAACTACCTCTTTCGTGAAGATGTTGTCGAGGTCTAGGTCAAGTCTCGGATTGACAGCAGCCAGTTTCATGGACAAGAACTGCACAATGGATGTAGAAAATGATTTGGATGCTCTGAGAGTGAAAAACTCCAAACAAGAGTGTAGAGCATTGCATCTTGCTAGATCTTTACCTCTACTTGTCTTTGTAGAGATTGGACATAGTTAATTATCTCATCAAGCATTCCCGCCTTCCCGGTTATCTTGTTACACCCTGGGACTAAATCTTGAAGGAACTTCATTCTCTCGCTGATTTTTTCCCTCCTCACCTGCGATTAAACAAAATTACAACACCAAGAACTTTCATATTAGGTCCAATGAAACCTTGAAATTTCGAGTGTAACCAGAGCTAACAGGCCTAAAGGGAAAAAAAAGAACTTTCGAACTCGGGACTTACTCTTTCGGCTAAGCTGTGGCTATCTGTGGCTTGACCACGACGTGCTCGGACATGGATATAATCGGGCTTTGGGACATCAGAGACCTTTGAGTTTTCCTTTGAACTGCTTGCAGATGCTTCTTTGTTGTTGTTGTTGTTGGTTTTGTTGTTGCTCTGCTCTGAGATCTTTGACTCTACCTCTTCAGGGCACCCTTTGATCCTTTTATCTCTGGAATCATCTTCAATCTACAAATTGTAACCCACACGTCAGCTAAATTATCCATCACGATCCTCGCAAAATCACCCATTTCCCGAAATTACAGATTTCTCAAAATTGACCAGACTACTAGGAAAAAAAAAAACATTATGAAACTCATCCAACATTAGAGACGCGTGCTTTAAGACGAGAATTCAAGAACCAGCAACAGCATTTAACTAATGTGGTTAAAATACAGAAAAATGAAAAGGAAAAAAAAAGAGAAGTGATCAAGTACCCAGAAGGTCACATAATGCTATCAACCTAAACCGCATTTACCCTTGGAAAAAGTTAGGAAAATTCAACAGACAGAGAGAGAAAGAACACACCTTTGTGTTGTGCACTTCATCCACTTTCCTCTTCTTGGAATTCTCTCGCCCAGCTTGGCTCATCTTCTCCGAAACCACAAACTCCTTACCTTTCTCCACAGTCACCGCCGGCGTCGCCGCCGGAGGGCAGCTCAAAGTCCTGTTAATGGCGAAATTCACCTCCAACGCGCTCCCACCCCCAAACCCACACGCCCCGTAGCCCAAGCCAGACAAGTCGAAGCTACCCAGCCACCCGCTTTCCACACCCGGGTCGGGCTTAATCGGGTGGTTCAGCACCTCCTCGAACACCGCCTCGCAGCCGCCGCCCATCAAGCTCTCAATGCTCTGCCCGAAGCTAAACGCGCCGTTCAACTCGCTCCCACCGCCGAAGTGACACCTCTGCCCCTCGCCCTGCACGTGGAACTGAAGCTGGTCGTCCTGTTGCCACTTCCCGCGGGCCCGCTGCCGCTCGAGGACCGTCATCTCCGCGCAGTGAAGCATCTCCGGCAACGACGGCGACGGCGTGTTCATCACGTTGCGAAGGGTCGGGAGAGCAAAAAGAGAAGCGAGAGATGCGATGTGCGAAACAGAAATAAAGGTGGTGGTGGTGGTGGTTTCGGGCACTGTGGAAGGAGCTCTCTTTTTTGTGCCTAACACACGAGCTCGCTTTTTCTGGTGGGGGGGTGGTTTCAAAAGTACGATTCTTGATATTATTAAGAGATCGCTTTCCAATGCAAGTCTCTCTCTCTCTCTGCGTATTGGGTATCGGTAACTCCTCTGTACCGCGAGACTTTGGAGTGCCAATGGGAATGGAATGGAATGGAATGGCCGAGGGAAAAAGGAAGAGCAAGAGATGATGCTGAGACAGAGAGAGGTGAGGCTACAGAGGATGTTGAGGAAGGATGCAGGGGGTATATATAAAGTGGAAGAATAAAGTATGATTTATCCAAATCCCAAAGAAAATGTTAATGACATGTATTGATGATCATCATCAGACTACATCGAAATATCAGGGAACAAGGCAGGTGCTTTATGTAAGAAACCCTTCGGAAAGAGGCAGTTTTTAGCTACGTGCCGGCTACTTAAAAGTGTCGTTTGCCAATGGGACATCCTTAATAATCTGAAAAGAATGCTTCTTTCTTGATGGGCATTCGTAAGATCATTATAATAGTCAAGGAAAAGAAGAGAGAGAAGCAAGGAAGGAAGGATGGATGAATGGATGGATTAGAGAGAGAGAGAGAGAGAGACAGAGAGGGGAGGAGTGGGGACAAGGGACCAAAGGCCATGGAGGGTGGGGCCCAGCATGACATGACCGCCACGTGGGCGTGTCCGGAGCTCCGCCAACGGGGGGCGGGTGGGGGGAAGGTCGGGGGTCCTGTTACGGGGTTTTAGGGAGGTTTCGGCTCGCCGTCGCCGCCGATAATACAGAGCAAAATCTCGAACCGAAGTAACAAACGCTATTCAACTCCGACGGAATCTTCCGATTCGGTGCCTAAGAGTAGTAATAAACATGCCATGTTGTGCGTGATAAGAACCCCTTTGATGGGCGCCCTCAACCTTCATTTCTCTCTGTTTTTAGCTGTTGAGATTGTGCAAGGAAATTTCCTATCTTGAAGCTTTTGGTCCATGTCTGTTATAGTGACCTGAGGTTGTCCGCTATCATCTTATCTCCATCAACCCACGACGCCTCCACCTCCTATCTTTACTCTCTTTTACCCCTCCTTCCCCCCGCAAAATATGTCGAGCTTGTGTCCCGAACGAACGACGTGTTTCAATGCGCTTCCGTTTAGATGTCTAGTCCGCCACACTGTGTTTACCCTGATGTCGGCGAGCTAGGTCGTCATGAATCGGTTTTGTTCGTCAAATGACTCGACTCTTTGGTGAATGAATGGATTTTGCGGGAAACGCTTTTCGCTGTCGATAGTGATGTTTCTCACTCTTCGACCTTTGTAAAGTTTACGGGGAGATGCATCGTACTTGTCGTGCACATGCAAAATAACAATTACAAGGTGTGTATTGTGTCTCAACCAGAGTACGTAGACCGGGTGTTACCACCTCTGTCGATCTATGCGGAACTCTAAAAGAGGGTCCACCCGCATAATCAATAGTTGCGATTGAATTCGGGGTACCAAACCGGTCCGAGCCAAAGAAGATAGAGGAAAGAAAGTTTCCTGCTCCGAAGTAGCAATGGCCATGCGTTTGCATGGGCAAATCTAGCAAAGAGCCTCAAAAGAGCAAATTTAAAAACGCAAAATAAATGAAAAGAGTGAGAGAGAGAATAAGAAAACGTTGCAAATACTTCGCTGATGCATTGCATGCACGCATGGGGACCTCCCAGTTGGGGCCCAAGAAGAATGCCGGGGGAGCTCGCTCCATGGTCTGTTGCTTCACATGGGCTCCTCCACACGTGGCGCCCTCCGGTACACTCGTCGCTCCACGTCGGCACGATGGCGTGGACGGTGACGTGGACGGAACGGGGTCGGGTTTCTACGCTTCACCCTTTTCCCCGTCCGTCCCGGTGTGTCGTCGCAAGCGTTTGGTTTGGTACCTCGGAAGTTGAGAAAACCAGAATGATTTTCTCCTCATTTTTTCCAAAAAACAAGAGGCGGGAAGGCTTTGAGCCTACCCTAAAAGACCAGCTTCGAGGAGGGGGCAACTGCCCCTCCAATCATAGGACACGCTTCTTTCTTCTGCTGTCCTTCTTTTTCTGTTTCTGCTCCAAGATTCTGCGTCAATTAAGGCCCCGACCTCTTTCCCTTCTATATTTAGAATGGAACCCATTCCTTATTAAGCCGTGCAGCCGAAAGATATCGCGTAAACTCATGTGACCGAACCCGCCGTAGTGCGCTAAACTCGCGGAGTCCCGTGTTCTTTCGACGGGGTTTGGTTCGGGAATAAAACGTGTCCATGAATCCCTGGACTTCTGTGTGAATTCACTACTTGTTTTGTTGGTTGAGGTGGATAGGATGATGAGATTTTTTGCCACCTAAAAACATTGTATTTGAGACCGGCAAAAGCGGTTCAAAGGATGCATTCAGTTCAGGAATTGCTACTTAGCTAAGCTATTAGCTATATTACTTTACTTCACAGGCAAGGAAGCATCCCCCTCCTGCAATTGCGATTGACTGCCGTGGTCAGTCGTTGCTCTTTTGTGTTGTACACTCACCAAACTCGCTAGCTAGCTTGAAATTCATTCTGCAACCTAGACAATTTAATAGGCCTCGTGACGATGGAAGCAAAGAAAGAGAAAAATCCAAGGGTATTAGCTTCACGGTGATCGCGACGCCCGTTCGTCGTAAGCACACGGCATCGCTTTAACCATTGCCCCTTTCCTCGGATCCGGTCGGATCTAAACAATCTGTTTCGAGGAAAAAGTGCGGCCGTCATCGCCGACTCGTCCATCAATCCGCTGTCGATGTGTTGGGTTAAACGGATATAAAACGGCCTCTATTGTCTTAATGTCGAGCTTAGAAAGTGATTGATGGGGAATTAGCGCAAACCCACATCGCCAGGCCGAAGCAGCCAAAGAGGGCGCTTGTGGGCTACAAAAGTTAAATCCGTCAATTCAATTAAGATGGAGTCGAGATATTATGGATGTCCTTTCCTACGGCGAAGGCTAGTCACCACACAATGACATGATAATGAACCATCAACCTCCCTTTCCCATTAATAAGTATAGAATGCTTCTAAGCTATCGTTGTCTGTGATGTCGCAAAAACCCTAAAACGGACAAATTAAGACAAGCTGGAGCTCGGCAAATGGAGTTTTTAATCATCATGTTTATGCCCTAATCGCAGTCCCCTCGACAACAAAAGCCCCCGTAACGTCCTTTTATGTCCTGTATCGGTAAGGAAACAGTTTCGTGGACCTTAGCTTCGCAATTATGTTGGGATGCCTCTTGGCCTTTGGTTTTTGTTGGTGTTGCTCCTGGACGGGATCCTAGGATTACCCAATTTTCGTCATCAAATTATTTCCGTAACGGCGTGTTATTTTGTGTGTGTATAAATATGTAATCGTCGAAGCTGGGAAAAGTGCCAAAAAAGTCCTAAACCTTTTGCATTGATGCCAATTTAGTCCTAAACCTTTTTTTGCAATTCGGTCATAACCTTTGCATTGGTGCGAATTTAGTCCTAAACCTTTTTTGGTGCCAATTCGGTCCCTAAACCTTTTAAATTGGTGCCAATTCAGTCTTAAATATTTTGTTTTTGTCTAATATAGTCCTTGCCAATTTTGACCAGAATTTGCCGACGTGGACGCTAGCTGGCCGACGGCTGGTCACCGGCGCCGACGTGGCGCCGACATGGACAACTTTAATAATATTTTAATGTTTTTTTGAATTTTTCTTTTTTTTTCCACTTTTTTCCACTTTTTTTTTTGTCTCTCCCTCCTTCCTCTGGCCGGTCGCCGGTCCGGCGACCGGCCAGAGGCCAGAGGCCGGCGAGCTCGACCTCGCCGGCCACTGGCGAGGGTGGCCTCGCCCGACCATGGCGAGGCTCGAGCCCTCGCCGGAGGCCGCGGCGAGGGCGAGCCTCGCCATGGCGGCGAGGCCCGACCTCGGCCGATCCGGCGAGGTCGAACCTCGCCCAACGACCTCGCCCGGATCCGGCGAGGTCGGGCCTCGCCCGACCATGGCGACTCTTGCCCTCGCCGCGGCCTCCGGCGAGGGCCTCGAGCTCCCGGCGACCTCGCGTCCGGACCTGGCGCGTCAAGCCTCGCCCGACCAAGGCGAGGCTCGCCCTCGCCGAGCGAGGCCGCCCTCGCCAGTGGCCGGCGAGGTCGAGCTCGCCGGCCAGAGGAAGGAGGGAGAGACCAAAAAAAAAAAGTGGAAAAAAAAAGAAAAAAAAGGAAAAAAAATATTAATTCAAAAAAATATTAAAATATTATTAAAATTGTCCACGTTGGCGCCGGGTGACCGGCCAATAGGCATCCACATTGGCAAATTCCAGTCAAAATTGGCCGGAATGACTAAATTGGCACAAAAACAAAAGGTTTAGGACTAAATTGGCACCAATTTAAAAGGTTTATGACTTAATTGGCACCAAAAAAAGGTTTAGGACTAAATTGGCACCAATGCAAAAGGTTTAGAACTGAATTGGCACCAAAAAAAGGTTTAGAATTAAATTGGCACTAATGCAAAAGGTTTAGGACTTTTTTGGCACTTTTCTCGTCGAAGCTCCTATCTGCTGAATGACACGTAATTAATCAAGCGAAATCATGGATTTTGATTTTGGCTTCTTTTGTTTTTTTTTTTTTTTTAATTTTAGTTATGAATGTCGTATGTGTTGCTGGATAGATACAAGCTATGCAAATATGTACGATAGAGCCGTTCAACTGGAAGGTGGAGGGGATACGGAAGAGCATGCTTTTTCAAGAAATAATGATTTTGGGAAAGATAAGAGCAGGTCCAGTTGAGGACATATGAGGGCTACTTCCATTATCACCTAATGAGGGCCCTTTCTCTCTGTCTCTACCAGTTGGATGTACAAGACCTTTTAGCCCCAGCTCACGGCAAAATGGGATCTCTCTCTCTCTCTCTCTCTCTCTCTCTCTCTCTCTCTCTCTCTCTCTCTCTCTCTCTCTCTCTCTCTCTATTCCAGTCACTTTTCTCTGTTGTCGTGGTCAACATAGAACTATGCTCTTTGCATCTATTCCCTTCCCAATCCTTTTGATTTGTTTCTGATCTTCTCTCCTGCATTTCAAATCTCTCTTTCACCTGCTCAATCCAGCTTGACTAATTCCTAAGGTAGCATTAGGGTTTTGCTTGTCTTTCATAGTATTGCATGCGTGAGGCACAACAGACGAACACACGTTTGAACGAGCAAATGCTTTCGCTAACCGCTGTAACTCTTTAAAGAACCGCTTGTGCAGAATATGAAATTAGTACGTGCCTGTCTTGATAGTGTACTTGTCATAAGCTTAACGAGGTTGTTCCGAATAGAAGAAAGAGATTTAGTACATCTCAGACGGAATAACCGAGTTCATCAGGTTGAAGCAAAGGTCAAACACACATGCTATCAAGACATCATCAACTTGAGGATCATGTTATTCAATCCATATTGTTTGAT